GCAATAATTCTAACAGCAATCATTTTAGAATTTACCAGTAGCATTTTATGCAGAAACAATCCATAATTTCACCCCCTAAGAGGTATTTGAGATTTATCTGCTACAGATCAAATTTGATTTGAGGTTGAATTTTTCTTGCCTAGAATCATTCCCTACTTTTGGTCTCCTTGGTATTGCAGTCGAAGGAAATTGGGCATCAACAAAGTTTCCACCAAGTTCAATCAAATTAACCTGCAATAAAACTACTGTACTTCTGTCATATCCATGAGCAGGGATTACTGTAACAATAATTTCTTGGAAGTTTCTGACAAACAGTTGATGGAAAGATTACCAGGTCTAAAAAGTACAGCTCACGTCCTCAGAGGTCAAAATAATTTTGGGACTGTTTCCAGTCATGTTGACCAGCCAAGGAATTTTAGCTCCATCATGTCTTCCTTCTGACTGGTCAAAATGATAAATAAAAATAACAAAAATGGTAAATTTAATGTACTAGCCCAACAAGCAAAAACATGAAGCAAAAGAAGATGCTTGTCCTCCTGGTTTGAAAATGTATTTTTCGCTGGTCAGTTATCGACAAGTCCAGTCAAAATGACCACAAACCCAAAGTCCACCAGGACAAAATAAAAATAATGGTCATCTTGGCTGGACTTTGCCCAATGACCACTTGCTACTTTGAGCTCTGAATCCCACAGGTCAAGCCCCAGTCTGTTTATTGAACCACCTTTTTCAGGGTTGTCATCAAGATTTCAAGTTGCCGGGTAAATTACAACAAGTAGGCAGGGAATCAAAGAGCTAGGGGTTTCTTTTGGTTCTATTTTTCTTCTAGTTTCCTTTGAAAGCAGCTGGGGGCCATGTTTATAGAAATCCCCGGTCCCCGCCTCTTAATGACAGCCCTGTTTTTATTAGCGTGTTCTCTAAACTGTGGAATGTGACCTGATGGTTTTTTACAATTTGTCAGTAAACTAAGAAGATAAATATTATAACTCTACAGTTGGGTATTTTTTTTCACCCTTTCATCTGTTGACAGTAGGAATCACACCTCCTGAAGATGTTAGCAGTAGATGGTTTGGAAAGTTCAGCTCTGGAATCCTCAACATTGCCTATTAAAGAGGAAAAAGTGAAACCTAGAAAGCATGATGAATTGCAGTATCTGAATATGATTCAGTACATTCTTGATAATGGCATGGAGAAAGGGGATAGAACAGGTACATAACATACATGTACATTGTACAGGGCAATATAGAACCAAAATCAAAACTCAAGAAAATTAATTATTTTTCAAATCTCCATTTTAAATAATAAATATGCTTTAAAATTACTAAATAACATAATACACTACTGCTCGTTTTTTTGAATGAGCTTCAAAAGCTCTGATACAGATCAACTCATTCTTGCACTAATATTTAGATTGGGGATCTTGTGTAATTTGCGCACCCCTCGGTTGACATGTTGGTTGATACATCAGTCGATATATTGACAGATACATCAATTCAATACCCCCACCAAGAATTCCTAGGAGTACCTCCCCGGGATGCCTCTAACTGGGGGGGGGGGGGGGGGGGGGG